GGCCTCTCCAGTTGTACTGGTTAAGAAGAAGGACGGAACACTTAGATTCTGCGTGGACTACCGGCAGCTGAACGCAGTGACGAAGAAAGACGTCTATCCACTCCCCCGCATCGACGACACGTTAGACCGGCTGCGCCACTCCCGATACTTTTCATCCATGGACCTGAAGAGCGGCTACTGGCAGATCGAAGTCGACGAACGGGACCGAGAGAAAACAGCTTTCGTCACGCCAGATGGGCTGTACGAGTTCAAGGTGATGCCCTTCGGACTGTGCACGGCTCCAGCAACTTTCCAGCGTGTCGTGGACACCGTACTGGCAGGACTGAAGTGGCAGAGCTGTCTCGTCTACCTCGATGACGTCGTAGTGTTTTCCAGCGACTTCGACGAGCACTTGCGACGACTCCGAGCAGTTCTCCAAGCCATACGGACCGCCGGACTCACCCTGAAGCCGTCAAAGTGTCGGTTCGCCTATGACGAACTGAAGTTCCTAGGTCACGTGGTTAGTAACAAAGGCGTTCGCCCCGACCCAGAGAAGACTCGCGCCGTCGCAGCATTTCCAGTACCGACAGACAAGAAGGCCGTGCGAAGGTTTCTTGGACTATGTGCCTACTATCGGCGCTTCATCCGGGATTTTGCAAGGATTTCCGCACCACTCACAAACCTCACAAAGGACGCCGAGAAGTTCGAATGGGCCGAGAAGCAGCAGCAGGCATTCGACGAGCTGAAGCGACGACTGCAGACTCCTCCTGTTCTAGGACATTTCGATCAAGATGCGGAAACCGAAATTCACACGGACGCAAGTAACGCTGGACTTGGCGCGGTACTGGTTCAAGTGCAAGACGACACCGAGCGAGTTATCGCCTACGCAAGTCGGACATTGTCCAAGGCGGAGAAAAATTACTCCACGACTGAGAAAGAATGCCTTGCTGTCGTCTGGGCAATCACGAAGTTTCGTCCGTATTTGTACGGGAGCCCGTTCCGTGTAGTCACGGACCACCACTCGCTCTGCTGGCTTGCGAGCCTAAAGGACCCGTCAGGACGCCTCGCTTGATGGAGTCTACGACTACAAGAGTTCAACATGACTGTGGTCTACAAGTCAGGCCGCAAGCACAGCGACGCCGACTGCCTGTCCAGAGCCCCCATCGAAACACCTTCCGGCAGTAGCAACGACGAAGACGACGAGTGCTTCCTAGGTGCAGTGAACACCGACGACATGTCACGACGTCAAAGAGACGATCCTGAGTTGCGCGCACTAATCGAGCACCTCGAAGGACGAGGGGGTACTGTCCCCCGTGTCTTCTCGAGAGCCCTGCCGACTTTCGTCCTCCGACAAGGTGTACTTTACAAGGAGAACTTCGGAGACAACAGCACACCATCGCTGCTGGTAATCCCCACCGACCTTAGAGCGGAGATCTTTCAAGCCTGTCACGACGACCCGACGTCCGGACACCTTGGTTACAGCCGTACGCTGGCCCGAATTCGTGAAAGGTATTACTGGCCCAAGCTGCCGAAGACCGTTCACTTCTACACACGGTCCTGCCAGGAGTGCCAGCGACGCAAGAAACCACCGACGAAGCCGGCAGGTCTCCTGCATCCGATCGCTCCCCCGACCGTACCGTTCCAGCAGATTGGAATGGATCTACTTGGTCCTTTCCCACCATCGACGCAAGGAAACAGATGGATTATTGTCGCCACAGATTATCTCACACGGTACGCCGAAACGAAAGCCCTTCCTGTAGGGACTGCTGTGGAAGTCGCCAAGTTCTTTATCGAATCCATCGTCCTCCGGCACGGCGCTCCCGAAGTTTTGATCTCAGACCGTGGATCATCGTTCATGGCCCAGCTGACGCAAGAAATCCTTCGTCTCAGCCACACCAGCCATCGGCGCACAACGGCGTACCACCCGCAGACCAACGGGCTGACGGAGAGACTCAACAAGACCATCGCCGACATGATCTCCATGTACGTCGACGTGGAGCACAAGACCTGGGACGAGGTGTTGCCATACGTCACATTTGCCTACAACACGGCCGTGCAAGAGACCACCGGGGTGACACCCTTCCAACTGGTTCATGGTCGTAAAGTAACGACAATGCTGGACGCGATGTTACCCCACGAACCGGCTGTCGACGGAAGCGACGACGCCCAGGTGGTTGCCCAACGGGCAGAAGAAGTCCGCCAGCTCGCCAGACACCGTATTCAAGCCCAACAACGTGTCGACACTGGCCGCTACAACCTTCGTCGTCGGGACGTCCACTTCCAGCCCGGAGACAGGGTGTGGGTGTGGACACCGATCCGCCGCCGTGGTCTCAGTGAGAAACTCCTGAAGCGCTACTTCGGACCCTACAAAGTACTTCGTCGACTCGGGGATCTGAACTACGAGGTGATGCCCGACGGAATACGGACTTCATCACGCCGCGCTCCACGACCGGAAGTCGTCCACGTCGTGCGCCTCAAGCCGTACTACGCGCGATAAGACTGCGAACTGTGATCTTGTGCACCGCTTTATACGATTGTGTTTCGCGAGCCTCCGTATGTTCCCATTTTTTTGTTTGTTTCGCTCTGTTTTGTTGCCTTTTACGTGGCATCGAGACGATGCCTTTTTAAAGGGGGGAGTAATGCCACGCTCGTCGGCGAGCGACCGCGCGCGTGGCCGAGTGGTTACCGTGCTTGACTGTCACGCAGAAAGTATGGGTTCGAGTCCAGTTAGTGGAATGCTCTTTTATTTGTTCTTTCATTGCGTTCTCGTGAGTTCGAGAACATTCTCGTCAGATCGAGTTCCGAATGTTCCAGTCGCCGAACAATCTAGGCCGATTGTTCCAGAACCCAACGCGCGTACATAGGGACTCCGCGTGCTGATCTGCAGTCAGTCTTTCGCCCAGCGTTCGACTCTGCTGCTACGCCGACTCCGACGCCCGCGACGCTCCGTTATTATCTTTTGTACCCTTTTATTTTTGGCACAAGTTCGCCACATTAAACGTTTATTTCTTTCTGTTTATTATTGCTTATTGGTCACTACCCGTGACAATATTGGCATTGCTTCAAGGACAATCGTCTGCCAAATATCCGAATTTTTAATTCTCCGCCGCACAAGTAATTCAAATTCAAACGGAGCATAACTGCTCAGATTACACCTGCAAAACACACAACGTTTTTGTTGGCAACAGCGGGAGTTCTGACGTAACATCAGGCATAGAGAGCCGCCTCAGCTCTTGACTCCTGTCTCAGTAAAATACTTCATTCTCAAAAAGACAAGATTTACAGTATTGCGGGAAGCTCAATTCTTCAACGATGATCTTTGTACACACCATCAGCTATGTTGATCTTAACCGGGAATATGTCAACGCCCGGGACTCTGACGTCACCATGCCTGATGTGACTCCACGATACGATCAGCCACCCATACTTGCGGAACTTGGCGTGAAGTTTCGTATTCATGTTCATAATTGGTCTAATTATTACTAGAGCGTATTTTAATGAAATAAATGTCGCCACGCGCGTCGGCGAGCGAGCGCGTGCGTGGCCGAGTGGTTACTGCGCTTGACTTTCGTGCGGAGGCCCAGGGCTCGATTCCCCCTGGGAGTTACCCATCCTTAATTTATTCTTTCAGTTTAATGTTCGGGTGCACTTGAGAAAATTGTTGTTTATTCTAGGTCCCAGTGCTTTACGCGTCGATCCATCTACGCCGACTATTTAAGGAGCCCACGCGTGTACATAAGGGGCTTCGCGTGGCGCGCCAAAGTCAGTCTCGCTCCAGCGCTCGATCCTACTGTTTCGCCGACATCGACGCTAGCGCACTTCTATTTTGTTTTGGGCACATGTTCACTCCATTAAACGTTTAGTTTCTTCAGTTCTTCTTCGCTTCATCATTTGTCATTCGTGACAATATCATACATCTCTATATTTAGGCCCTCTTCATGTGACCAGCGCAAAAGCTTCCTGATATCACAGGACAATCTCTTTAAAGGGGCGGTGCAACGATATTCGCTTGTAATGTTTTTCACTTTACTCGATCTTACTGGCACGAGTGGTACTCAAGGACACTCGCACGCAACGCCACTGGTCAAAAAACCCCTATGTTGCGATGTTAATTTCAAGGACAAAAGCGAGCGTTTTCTTTCCACCTCTCCTTCGCAAAACTTGATGACGTAGCTGGAGGATCGCAATATCCCCCAGTGACGATATTTGAATGCGGCTCATATAATGGACCCGAGCGTTGCGTGTGCCTACGATTTGGGCTCGTGATAATCAATGGGTCGACAAGCATTCGGGTAGCTGCCGGTGTCATTGCCCGTGTCCAATCGCTGCAATGACAACACTAGCCGAACGATAACAATGTCTGGAACTCAGCGCGTGTCCTGTGCTTTGCCAACCCCAGCGCGTGGCTATGATCAACATTGGCGGCATATAATCGTTCTCCAGACCACGTGGTCACTTGTTCTGGATGCGAGTTGAGGAGGTGAACGCTGCTGGTTTTTATTAAATTTTGTTTGCGGCTTCTATTGCGTGTGGTGAAAAACGAATGCGTCCTTTGTAGGTCTTTAAAGTCAGAGATTCGTTTTAAGCGGTATTTGTGCAAAGTACACAAATCGTTGCATCGCCCCTTTAATTGGAGAACAGCATAGTTGTTTCTTTCAATATTTCCGTTTAGGTTCGATCAAGAGTCATTTCAAGAGCAGGGTTTTCTTGTTTTTATTTATTCTTTGAGTTTTTGTTTATTCTTGTTCACCGCGCATTTTTCGATGTTTACATATTGCTAAAGAAAAGCAGGTGCGCTTTGTGACTATATTTTTTGTCCGTTTATGTTATTTCGATTTTACTTCTCGTGGACTTGGAACTATAACTACAGTTGAAATTTCTCGTCGAGGGCGTTGATATTTCGAATGTTGCAATTGCCTACGTAAGTCTTACGCCCTGCCTTAAGAATAAAAACTCAAAATGAGCTGAAATGCGAAGCCTTTTGTACAGAAACTCCCTTCTAAAGTACATCAATACACGCAATGAAGCTCCTTCTGATTGCCGTCGTTATCTGTATTGATACATCAGGTACGTAATACATTTTTTTATTCTGTAACTGCTTAGGTCGTACTCCCTTACAAAAATTATCAATGAGTTTCAATTAAGCTTCTATCGTATTCTCATAGACCACATTAGAAACTCAATTGAAACTCATTGATAACTATTGTAAGGGCTGGCCATTATTTCCAGGTGGAATGTCTGTCGAATCAACGGCAAAACCTTGTAATATTTTTTTTGTGAACCATTACTCTTGTAACATAACAGCTCCGATAAGAAAGCAAAACCAGAAACTTCTACAAATTGAGGATAGGTACTTTGATCGAACCTTTATGCCCGTGTCCCGCTAGAGCGATAGACAGAAACAAACGACAGCGACAAGCCTCAAACCAGAGCCTTTCGCGATTTGAAAGTCTTTGTAGAATAAAGGAGGCTGTGCTCAAACACGAGCATCATGCACGCGAGGGTATCTTTGGCAGGTTTGCAATCGCTCGTGCTTACTTCACGAGCACCGAACGACTAAACGCCTGCCAAAAGTACCGTCGCGAGCATGGTGGATGGGTTTGAGCCTTGTCGCTGTCTTTTGTTTCTGTCTGTCGCTCTAGTGAAACACGGCCATTACCCTATTCCTCATATCGGACTACCGGAGCCTTTGAAGCATGCTTTCAAAAACGTGCCCGGGTGATACTGTGACCACGGGGCGCGCGCAAAGCATGTTTCAAATGCTTCGGTAGTGCGGTAGCGGAACGCGGTAACGGTTTGCTAAAAGTCCCTAATTTTCGGAACGCCGTAAAACACTTCGTGTGCGTCACCTCATTTTAATGTGTGAGAATAGACAGATATTTCGATTTAGTTTCGTTACGCCGCCACTGCCGGCATAGATCATCGGAGGTGTAGTCTTCCTGCACGCGCGACAACCATGTTGGAGCTCTGCGCGAGACGAGCACGAGTCGACACGAGCCATGTCGTGCACTTGCACCTGCCCACGTGCACCTGCCCTAACTGTGCGAACTACAGTTATGGCAGCACTAGGGTGCCTTCACGTGCGCTTTGCTTAGGGTGGAGACATCTGGCCATTTTGTTCCCACTTTTACATTTATTTTTTGTTCAGAAGCGCGTGAAAGAGCGTGTCCCTGCACGCGTCTGTGGCGCTGACTGTGCTATGGCGACATTTTGTTTTCGTCGATTTCTGTGTAGTTTCCCCGTGAGCGCGTGCTGTCGGCATCGGGTACTACAAAGGGTGGCATCACTCTAAACAGAAGGTCATTGAGGCACCTTAGGTGGCACCACGCATTCGTGGAACGCTTAGTGAGCTCGGTCTATTTAGTATTTTGTATTATTCGCATGAAGTTCCTAATTTAAATCATTCCCGTAAAATTATCATTTCATGTTTTAATTAGGAAAAAGTCATTAATTATCCGAATATACTGATCGCTACTTATTTTACTTAAAAAAAGTTAGAGGTTCTGGAAAAAAAAAAAAAAGATACGAGTTGGAGGTGAATTTTAGAGTACTTCTATCCCGTGAATCACAACTTCCTGTTGGTCTTGCCGTGAAGATGTAACGTAATGTAACTAAACGCGAGAAAATATGAAAAACCTCCGTCCGGTCGTTACGTCATACCCAGATCTTGGGGCAGCAAAGCGCGTGTCTCTCGTGGCGGCGGCGCTTGCCCTAAACCATCTTCCAAATTAACCAAAGATAAAAAAAAAAAAAAAAAAAAAAAAATGCGCGGAGCGTAGATACACGCGTTGCGCGTGCTGGTGTCTTCATTTCTAACTGTTCGAAAGGAAAAAAAAAATCTAAATAAAATGGCCCTTTGCACGCCAGTTTTATGCACGCTTTATTTCGGTTATCTACTTTGTATCTTCTCTATTGGAAAGGCGAAGACATGCAGAATATTTACAAGTGCTCAGTCCAGCGTCCGATCTCCTGAGCCCAGCACGCGCATGTTCGTCGCTTCGGAAAACGAGCAAATCACGCGCCATACGCACAAAGACTGAAAATAGAACCGGTCAGGAGCACTTTGTTTCGTGTGGAAAAGTCTATATTCCTTCGTTATGACACCAGTCAGAACGTCTTTTTTATTTTTTTGAAAATCGCAAGAGTGCGCGTGCATAGCTTTGATAGACGCTGAAAATGCGCCACAGCTGAGATTGCGATAACTCCAACTAGTGCCACATCCACTGATCTCTATTGTGGTAGGCAGGATCGCGGACCGCGGCCTCGGCAGTTGGGGCCGAGTGTCGCCACCGGCGGCCGTTGATTGACACCAGCCAATGCATGAGACTCTATGGGAAGAACGAGACAAAGTGACGTTTCCGATGTTTCTAAAATGTTGTCAGCACTGAAACTTTTTGGATGCTTTTCGATAATCCCGTCAAATAGCTTGTGTAGAAAGATTAAAACTGACAGCCCTTGCAATCCTTAAAAACAAACATTTTGTGGTCGAGAATGACTCCGTTGAGCAAAAAATGTAATGCAGCTCAATGAGGCGAGAGTTACCTAGAGTTACCGCAGGGTCGGTGGCGGTTTCGTTGAGTTGGGTTTAGCAGGCGACAAGCTCGAAGGCTTTGCTAAGCAGAATTCGCTCACTCCCGGAAATCTACTGTCGAGATGGAACTTCTTTGTCATTCATCAACTTCTGGGCTTCCCCGAGGACGGTCTCATTGACGTCAAGTTCTTTTGTTTACTGCACTACGAGAGCAAGCCTACCAGCTCAGCCGTAGGTGCTCCGGTGCGTTCGATTTTTTTTTTATCGGCGTTCGCACGCTTGACGAGTACCGATTTGATCTCCAAACATCCGACATAAGCATCGCAGCGCACCATAAAACCTCGCCCCCGAGCCCAGCGTACATGCTTCAATATTATTACTTTTGTGCTTTTCCCCCATAGACTTGCGTGTATTGCCTGGTGTCCACCGACGGGCTCCCCATCCGCGATCTAGCCTACTAGAATAGAGATCAGTGAGTGCCACTAAATAAGCTTCGCTTCAGAACAACGACACTTGGCCATATTGTGACTTAAAATCATGGTTGCCAGTTATCTGAAGCTTTATCTGAAATCACAGGAAACGCTTTTCCGCCCTCCACAAATGTTTAAACAGTTCGCGACAGAGCGAAGCAATATTACATGAACTTCCTTACACCGAATCTAATGCTGCGGAAGTCCCTCTTTTGAATCATGACGATCGGCAGTTGCGTCTGCTCGGCATACGGACAAAAATGGCCGCCACCCACAACAATGTCGGGGAACGGAGTGCCGATACTCTAAGCGCAGCTAATATAGTGGTTTTAACTCCACTGTTTCTAGATTACCTCAGTTATGAGACGCCCTCGGAGGTGGTACCCCCCCCCCCCCCCCCCCCCCCCCCCCCATTCTCCCCTTCCCTCAATAACCCCCGCCGTTTGAAGCGCCATCTAGATTTTCGTTCCAAAACTGTGTGTTCCAGAGTGTACGGTGGAACGCCATCTAGACGCTGCGCTTCGAAACGTACGCGTTCCATTCAATACACTGCAGTTACCATATATTGAAGCTGTCCGGCGCGTTGAACGATGGGAGGCGAGCCGTGGAGGCAGAGGGGGAAGGGGAGGGGCGGGGGGGGGGGGGGGGGGTACTGCTCGTGCAAGTAGCCCCTATGAGCAGTTCCGTAACTGAGTTCATCTAATAGCGTTGAAAATTCTGGATATGACGGTACGCTCGCGAAAGAGGGCTGTAGCGGTACTTCGAAAACAATTTTCTGCTGCCCCCCTGAAACCAAATTGAAATATAATCTTGACATTCGTGGTCCTGGAGGCAAAACGAAGACGATTTTAAGTGTTTTTTTTTTTTTCTCGAATTCAAAATCGATTCAATTTCCTTCTAGTGAACCCTTTGGCACGGGCCACTACAGTGTGAACCGCGTTTCTGCGCGATGAGTAGTTTTCGCAGGAGCAATTAGGTCCGCCATTCCATAAGCACCCTGTTGATGTATTCAGGGAAAAATGTCTTCGAGTGTTATATTTGTAATAGAGTGCACTGACGTACTTAGTGGGGTCAGTATCCACGTGAGCAGTTTGAAAAATGTCATCGTTCAAACGCTGAGACGGAAGACAGAAATGAACGATCTTCATTTTGTTGCAGCCACTCACTACTTTCCGCCGCTTAATTAGCGCAACATGCGCAGACAGCATTTTTTGTCTCCTTAAAGTCTTACTTTAAGACTTGAAATCGACCGTGCTTACTCAAGATTTTGCGTACTAAACTTTACTGCGTTTGAACTAAAGGGAAGAAGAGGTGAAGAAATGAGATTAGATTCCCGATGGCGGCGAGAAATATAATATTAGCAGCAACAGCTTGTAAGAAACAAGAAAAAAGAACACAGAAAAAAACAGAAAAAATAGAGGTGTGTGGTCTTCTATGTCTATTCTCCTTTTGTCATTGTTTGTTACGCGCTGTTGCCGCTAATATGAACTGTTATCATCAACTCTCCCAGGCTTTCATCTTACGATGAAATATCAGTTTCTGTCCTGGTCGGATAGAAGAAGAAAGACGTGTGGAAACACGAAACAGAATTGTTCGGCTTGCGACTTCTCTCAGTAAATTGAAACTCGGCCATGACACTTCTTTGATCCAACCAAACAATTTAACACTAAAACATTGCTTGACTTGATATAAAAACACCAAATTATTTTGTATAAAAACTAAAAAAAGTTGGTAGAGGGAGAAACTTGGTCGTTCTCGCTAGCCAACGTAAAAATATTGAAACTACTATTTAGTTATTACTTAGTTAGCAACGAAATGCTGTAGAATGGCCGCACTTAGAATGACAAAAAAAAAAATAGCAGCATTTGTACGCGCTATGCTTATTGCTACATGATGTAACGAAATTTTTTCTATTTTAATTTCTTTTATTCCTAAGTAGCCTTTCCATTTCTCGTATTCCTATGTAGCCTTTCAAATTCTTGGATAGCATTACGAGAATCGTGGATGGAGAAAACGCGCTAGCACATTGTTGTGTTTTCTCATTTCCAATAGGGCAACAATGGCAGTGCAAGTTAGTCTTGAAAAATTGCCTTAAAAATAATTTCCATTTAAATTTCAACTCAAATTTAAAAAAAAAAATGTTATCCTTTTTACTTTGGTGGAGAAGGAAGACCAGGGAAGCTGTAACTATGGTGGGAACGAGGTAATGGCCGGCCGCAAGTCGGCAAGTCAGAGTGGAAAGGCTCGAAAGGTAGCGCCATCTACGAGCGACGGCGGCCAGCGGACAATCGCCGAACACAGCGCTCTGGACAGCTACAGCCATCTATGAGCGACGGCGGCAACCCAGGGGACATGATCCTGGGGAAACTAGCCCTTAACCGCTCCGCTGTAAAGCGACCTTGGTTCTAAAGAGACGTCGCTGTCGAAGGGTTTTCCGTCTCACAACGTAAATTGCTGCATTCCTCGGAAATGCACGCACGCCTTAGCTGTATTGTGTTGTACACATCAAGCGCGGCTAGGATATGTCACCTGAGGAATCAACTACTTGATCCTTTAAGTGGGAGATCCTAGCTTCGCTTGGTGAGCACAGGACGAAACATCTTTGTTCATTGTTGAAATGGACTTCGTGTAACGGGCAATTGAACGAGAAGCTGACGTCGCGAGTCAGCCACCACCTCTTTTCACGCATCCACCGCTTCGTCGTTCGCCCACACAGAAACATCCATAACATCGCAGATGTTGTACTCCTTTCACAATCCAGCTGGCAGGGTTGTAAAAGCCAGTTACTCGCCGGATCAACCGATCGCCGTACTTGCAGATAACTTGATCACCTGGTGCAAGACCGACGGCGGACTGGTTCCACGTGCATGCAGCTTCCACCACACTGTCAGCTTAGCGGTGAACGGAGTAAACAATTCATGGGCGAAGGTCACGTGCCGGAGCGACTCTATGCGCCGATGAATTGAGAGAGAAGAAAAGACGAGAGCCGCCACGGACGGCAGAGCATCCGAGCTCTGGTTGTAATGATAAGTGGATATACCTAAAGTAAGCGGCAGTTGTTTCTATTGCACTCGTCAAGCCCCTTAGAACGCGGAAGACTGGCGTCAAAAGTTTGGCTTTCGAATACAAACGCGTTTTATGAATTCAGCGGAGACAAAAACAGCTAGCTTTAGGCTTATCACTAATCATTCGAACCAGAGCACGGCGTTCTGACGTCCTCCGCGTGCTCTCGTCTTCTTCTATCCCTCAGTTTCTCGGCTCATATCCTTCTTCATGGGACCCTTAGCATTCGCGAGAACGTGTGGGCAAAAGAATTAACCGAGGTATGCTTTCGGAATGCATTGCCGTGCGGAGGCGGCTCATGACGTTAAGCCAACCCCCTGGATGCGTTGAAGAGCTGGAATCACTGAGAGCCCACGAAATGCACAGTGATACTTATTATGTTTCGCGGTTTGCTTCGTGATTTCTTCGGTATATAATTTGCCTAATTCTGCAATCTCAATGGTTGCCGAACGATAACTGTATGTTAGGGAATAGCCGCGCCCTGGAATGTGTAACCTCTAAGTGACTAACACAATGAGGATCACTGTGCCCATGACGGTTTTCTTTAATAGTTTCTTCTTTCATGTCCCTGTATATACATATATTTGAGGCTAGTTAATCCTTCAGTCACAGTGTGTTGATGGGCTACATTTTAGCCAACAATTGTTTGAAATATGTGCTGTAAATGTGAGGAGAGAGCTTTTATTGTTTCATTTCTCTCCCAAGGATTCTTGACAACAGCAAAACCGAGATGTGCACCCCTGTACAATGGCGGTCGTGGAGGACCAGGAGGAGCAAATGTTAAAGAAGGATGGAGTTTCAATTCACGAACCAATCACTGCCAAACAGTTATGTATAGATCTCGCTGTCGTCCTCCATGGAACTGCTTTCTTACTGAGTCGGAGTGCGAAGAAAATTGCGGTAAGCGTCAACGGATTAAATTAAATCCGTGACATATCTCTGTTATATACGGTACAAGTAACTCAACTTTATCAGAGGAGCTATGTGAGCATCGTAGCTAAACTCATTTCTTCAAAAATTGATAAAAAATTTTTAATACGTAGTAACACGAAAATAACAGCAACATTTTTCTACAAGTAAAACATTTGCTCTACTCTTCTGGGCTTTAGTTCGCCGTTCAGCGTGTCACTGATTTCGTCTTAGATTTTTTCAGTGGTGAGCCCATTATACAGACTCGAACCTTCTCTGTAATTAGTTATTGCGCCCCATATTCATCAGTGTACATGTTAAACTTTCTAGGTTTTTATTGAGGCCGTTCATGTTTGATATAAATTTGAACATAATTGTTTAGAAAATGGGGATGAGTGTTGGACAAGTGCCGTCTTCATCGTGTGTTTATCATGTTGTCCGGACGTTAGGTGAGTGAACAGTCGTCATCGTAAGCTGGCTAATTAACTTTTTACATTGTGGTTTTAGGGGTCCTGTTTCAGTTGAGGCCAATTAGTTCTAGAAACCCGAAAAAATAATATAATTGGTGCAAATTATATATATTTTTTTATCAAATTTCACATTTCTAGCCCAATCTAAAAATTGCGCGCGAAAAGGGTGCCACAAGCCCTGCCCACAAAGACGCTTGGAAGAGTGACGTAATTATTTCAAGCATGTCGTCACTATCTCGGCAGCGTGTCCTTGATGAGTGCGCCGACGACACAAGTGACGTCATCACTAAGACGACTACGCCACTCTTCTAAACGTCATTGTGGGCAGGGTTTGCGGCGCTTTTTCGGGCACGCATTTTTGAAATCGGCTTAAAAAAGCGTAAATATTTATCAATTTATATCTTAAAATTCGTTACATCCTTCAAACCCTTTTCAATCGCTTTGGCCTCCATAGTGTACCGATAATACTGTAATTTTAAAATGAACACTAAAACCTTTACTTAAAAAGGTAATTAACTTATCTTAGTTAATCAGCAAACTTATACGATTATCCCTTGATCTTATGTCCACCGGGCATGACAAATTGGGGCAACGTCTGACCCTCTGTTCTTAAAAATACCGTATTTACTCGAGTAATGGCCGCACTATTTATGAACAAGGCCCTTCCGTCTACCTTCCTACAAAAGCATATAGAGCCAATCGTCGCGTTGCGCATAAACAACATAGCGGATAACCAGATCGAGAGCACGATTCCACACACAAATGCAATCTTCACAGATGGTATCTTCGCACGAAAACATTATCTCTGTCTTGTAAACAGCTGGAATCGTGCTCTTGATCGCGGTGATTGGCGATCTGCGTGCTCCGCGGAAAAGCGAACCCTCAGGTTTTCTTTATAAACAGTGCGGCTATTACTCGAGTAAATACGGTGATATGTTCGAATTAAAATCACACACACCTATAAAGCAGGTGAATTCTTCTTTATATTTCAGCAGAAATATATTAAGATACAGTGTCATCGCTTTTTTCCTGTCTTTACTGTTGGCATGACCTAAAAAAAACAACAAAAAAAAACTATGGAAACATGGTTTAATATGATCTTTACCATTTCTAAAAGTTACTAGTCTGGAAATTCGCTCCTAGTTGTTACATAAAAAGGGTCCACAAGGTCATCCTGAATATGAGTACAGTCGGCCTTGATACAAAATGATTATTGAACTAGTTCAGAATCTTTCAAGGTTACATAGTAATACCCCGCAATAATGTTCTTGATTATGCTAAGCATCACGCAAGTGTATGAGTACGTACTTCTAGTACAAGAACATTAATAATGAAACCTAATTTCAGTTAGACATAAAAACACATGCTTATATTTAACATACGTTCCTCACGTTGTTACCGATCTATTAAAAAATAAATTGGAGAATGTTATTTTAAATCACGGCTATTATTTTTATCGGACGGAAATGTGCACAAATGCTAACCTTGAAAAAACAAATGCTTTATTTTTTTCAGATCCATTAGTGTTGGAGTGGCTAAACAAGTACGATGCATTTTGATCAGATAATGTGATCTATGTTGTCCGAACAAAATGCCAAAATTATTGATAAAATGGTTACAATAAAACGAAGTTGAAACGACTCGTGTCTACAATAAATGTTGGAGCTCAGTGAAAATATTCTTCTGTTCTTTTTACCTTAAATAAATATAACTTTTTTTCACGCTTTACGCACAAATCCCTTTCGTTAGCAAGAAAAGCATACTTTAACTATAATCCCGGGTCAGGTTGCTTTGTTCAGCTGCTGATCATTCGCCGGAATGGCGCGATATGATTATCATAATTTTTGAGAAACTATTCAATCATTTTGTCATAAATCACCTCAATCTTAGGAATTTTTTGTAAATCACTGCATATAAATGATGTCGGCCGTCCATTCTCGTTGTATTTTTTTTTCACACTGGAGGCAGATGGAAACTTTTGTTTGATCTACTGGTGGTTCCGACATCAAAACTGGAACCTAGAGCATCCACGTCACTAACAAAAGAGACGGTGCGCAAAATCGAGCCTAACTTGGGTGAAATTATTGATTTGAAATGTATGCATATAAGTGCCCAGTCAAATGCAAATGATCATAAAAATACACACACAAAAAAAAAAAGAAACTTCCAACGAGTTTCTAAATCGTGAAGAGGCCCAACCATCACAATTTCCTCTTTCATATCTACTCCGCTTTCGCACATATCTGTAACCTTATTTTAAGTACCGGTATCTTTCCAGAAAAAATGAAAATAGCGAAAGTCTGTGTCATCCATAAAGGTGATCTCCAGAATCATATGAATAACTATAGACCAGGGGTCTCAGACACGCGGCCCGCGGGCCGCATGCGGCCCGCGACTCATTGCGATGCGGCCCGCAAGCCTTCCACGGATTCGAGCCTCAATTTCCATGCCTCGAGCACCATTAACAATAGTTTTATATTGTCGATTATTTTTCGATCGAAAAAGATCTCTGCTCATATAACATGTTCTGTTTTCTTTTGGACGGAGTACTACTTCGTTTAAATATTTGCCTCTCGGCCTTTTCTCATGTAAATCAACCGGAACGGCACAACCACTACTGGGCCACAAGTGCGAGCTCTTTGCTCAGGGAGGCACCTCGGCTGCACGAATTGTTGCTTAGCAGGAGCAACTGCCGAAGATAAAGCTATGAGCTCGGGAATCTAGCTGACGAAAAAACATCTAAAATGCAGGTATTTTCTCCTCCGGAAAAAAAAAAGAGAAAAAACTGCCATATGAAGGTTTTTTTTTTCTTTTTTCTTATGTCGTTGAGCCTAATGAGTTGTTAGACGGGTCAACGACGGTGTGCTTGTTCTCGATATAGTAAAAACTTCCATACGTTCGTGTTTCACTGAATTCTCTTATTACATCAGGAGTTGGCCCAAAGTATATGCAAATGAAAGCAAAAGATGGCAAAACGGTGAGCTTACAAAAAGCAGAAAACACAAGGCTCCTTTAAGAAAATCTCTGGGGTGTTACGGGGACAGTTGACGTTTGCAGCGTGGAACACCACTGCTGATTGTTTATTTACATTTTTGTCCCAAAAATAGTAAAACATTTCCTCGAAAGGACGAGGGCCAACTGAGAGAGAGAGAAGAGGGGGGGGGGGGGGGGGAGGGGGGGGGGGGGGCGGGGGCGGCGGGCTCTCCATTGGCCCTCGTCCTTTCGGGGGTGAGCAATCTGGCCCCCACACTCGAATGAGTTTGAGACCTCTGCTATAGACCAATATCAGTACTTCCGGTTTTTTCTAAAGTAGTGGAACGCGCTATTTACAAACGTTTAAGTGATTTCTGTAATAAACATAATATTATTGCAAACAACCAGTATGGTTTCCAAAAAGGTAAATCAACTGAAAGGGCACTGCTAAATATCAAAAACAAAATCATAGACAATATTGAAAATCAGTGCTATACTCTGGGTGTTTTTTTAGATTTCAGGAAGACCTTTGATTCTATAAAACACGACATCCTACTCCGAAAGTTACCGCTGTATGGAATAAGAGGCAGTGTGCTAAACTTGATAAGCAGTTACATGACCTCACGTTTTCAATATACCGTCCTCAATGATAAGCGCTCTCCTTTAGCAAAAATTCGATACGGTGTGCCGCAGGGGTCGATTCTCGGGCCATTACTTTTCCTTCTTTACATACAATAATATAGTAAACATCGCAAAAACACCTAACAATTTTATATGCCGATGATACGAATGTATTCTTTACTGGTAACTGTTTGGATAGCATAGAAAGAGAAACAAATAATTGGCTGGAGCAACTTCATTTATGGTTAGGCTGAAACCAGTTAGATCTGAATACGGCAAAGACTAAGTACATTATTTTTAGAGCAAAAAATAAGCCCATAATTAGCGAAATTAGTATATATTTTCAAAACTCGAATATTGAACGCGTGGAATCCTTTAAATTTCTTGGTGTTCGTTTTCACGAAAATCTATACTGGACTTGTCAAGTGAACGAACTCCGAAGGGATATTTCTAGATCAATTGGTTTAATTTGTAAGCTAAAATACTTTCTTCCAGCCTGGTTAAAAAAACAACTGTATATATCTCTGATTCACTCGAGGCTGCATTACTGTTTATTGGTCTGGGGGACGACTACAGCAAGTAATATTAAGCAATTATTTACATTGCAAAAACGCGCAGTTAGGTCAATTGATAATTTACCTTGGACGGAATCGACTTCCCCTAGCTTTATTAAACATGAAATATTAACGTTAGACAATCTTTTTTACCTAAAGGTCGCAATTTCAGTTCGTACTCAAATAAACACGAATCCCGCGATATTTTACGAAACATATTTATCCAAGCAAACAAATTACAACTTGAGACACCAGCAGTTTTCAAAACCTAAAATAAGAACTAATTACGGTAAACAAAAAAATATCCTACCAGATAACCGATCTTCTTAACAGAAATTATTGTGTATTCCAATTAGCCCAGACAATCGCGTCTATGTTTCTTTTCAAAAAATACCTTACGGTATATTTCAATGTGCCTAGTGTGCATTCCAAATATACTTCACATCAAAATAGATTGTACATTTTTGTGTCTCATATTTTCATCTTCTCAGATATTGTTTTATTTTTGATTTATGCTGTTTTTGATTCATTTCTTGTGCCCTGCTGCTGAGTGCTGTAACGGGGGTTGGAACCTAGTCAGGTGATTCGTTTTCGCTTTTTGTCCCAACCTCCCTGACAATTGTGTCAAAAAAATAAAAATAAGCAAACAAACAAACAAACCAGCTAGGGAAGTTTTCCATCAAGGGTGACGGTGACCGCTGAGGAGCGTTTGAGGAGTTGCGAAAAAAGAAGAAAGCTGCTTCTCAATGCACTCTCTCTAGCTGACAAAAAAAAAAAAAAAAAGTAAAAAAGAAACCTCGTTGGTTTTAAAGCATTGGACCTCGTCAGATTGAAGGATTGGCTGAATGTTTTTTTCTTCCCTCATTAATACTGAACTATCCAGTGATAAAACAAAAACAAAGCTTGAGCTACTTTTGAAAGTCATTAATGACATGACGAGTGAAGAGCAGTGACAGGTGTATGATGCACACAGGCCGGCCAAGTGCTTGCAATAGACGCTTTATTGTCAACAAAAGAGGCGTGGAGTCTGCAGCTTATGTAATCTTATTAGAAGAACATCACGCTATAATTGTAGATATTTGTGCGTCTAGGTGTATTATCCCAATGTTTAACCAAATGACTCACCAAGACTATAGTAACCGACAGGACGACTAAAAGATAAATCGTAGCCGATTTTGTTCATGCTTCTTGCTGCGTGATTCTTTCTTTAGCCTTCTTATCTGGAAATTCCGCTATATCATTGGTCGCAGAGCGATGACAAGTTGCTCTGGACACTCCACGCCATACTTTTCTTAAGCTGTCCATGACAATGCAAATCGATATTCATGGTGGATCCTGTGCAGAAGGGCCGGACGTTCGGTGATCGCTTGAAGTCGCGCAGTTAGAAGGACATCGACAAAGTTTCTAATTGGTACGGGGCACTTTCAGCTGTGATGAGATACACCTAACTGGGTAGCTAAACTCGTGGAGCAAAACATTCTTCGCTTTTTGACGTAGCGGGGGGAGTGACCAAAAGAACGCCGCAAAGTTTCCTCCTCCCTGCGCGCGCTCAACTTCGCAACTTTTGACGAAAAATCCCCCGCGATCCCTAGGCGGTGCACGAGAGCACGAGACAGAGCGGGGAGGCAAACGTTCACGCCGCTCGCTGTACGTTGTCTTTGAGTTCTCTAGTGCCGACAATCCCGTCATGCCTCGCCTAGGCAAGGAGCGAGAGCAGACGGCGAGAGTTCGTCTGCTACGATGCGGAATTCGCGCAGCGGAACTGAAAGAAAAAGTTGGTTTTCTGCTCGAAATCGCGTCCCGCGGGCACAAACTCAAACGCGAGCTCGAATTGTAAGCGTCTGATATTTCACGATGGGAGGAATCGACGACCCGTGTTTTATTTGCAAAATTTGAGTCGTGTTGTTGCCGTACAGACGCTGAAACCATCCAGTGTGTAATGAAAGGCCCAGGACAAGCACAGAGGCCGCTAGATCTCGCATCATCTGTGTGCGGGTGAAAAGTGGAGCATTTTTCGACAAAACTCCTACATCAGAAACCTGTGACGCATTCACTCAGCGTCCGGGAAGGCTAAACATGAAGACGTTGCCCGAGACTCAAGCAAAGTCATATTTGAACGGCAGCTATCTTGCCCCGTCATATTTTGTTTTGAGAAAGCTCTCGTTCTCAATGCCCTCACCAGGGAAATAAAAAGTCTTACGAAACGTATTGCTAGATGTTCCGAACAACTAGATTTAAGCCGTATCCTTTCAGTGGTTCACTCATAATAGTATGCTTAAAACGAAGCAAGCTCTTGCGCGTACAGTGCCATCACTTTTCTCAAGTGTATGCTGTTTTGTAGTCAGCTGGTTTCGGAAACTTACGCCGTCTGTAGATATCTCTGACAGCCGAGTTGCTTAATTGGAAGTCAT